TTCGTGTCAACGAGATAGAGCTGATGCAGTGCATTCCATTGTTTAGCTGAAAATGCAGGAAAACCCCCCCCCCCCCAATTAACGAACACTTTAGCTTTGTAGCTGCTTTCGTGCGTTCTGAAGCGTTTCATGATCTGATTTTTTGTGGAGATACGTCTGTCGCAACATATATCCGTTTAGGAAAAAAAAAAATGGAATCGATCCACGCCCGGGGACAAAATCCTCACATCCCCGGGTTTTCCGCCTGAAATCGGGGACGGATTTTACCCCATTTTTGACCGTACGGCGGTGCTGCACACATGAAAAGAGCCAAAACTAAGAGATTATTGCACAGTGGGTCTAATCTGATCATATACAGACTCAAGAAAAAAAAATTAGGACGAAAAACTTCGCGCATGTGATGTAATGCCCGTTCAAACAGGCACCCCTTGACCCGGCCGCTACCGCTATAATTCTCCGCAAGAACCCCAAGGCCATTTCCCTTTTTTCACAGTCATCTTACATTCCCACAAGACGCCCTTTGGTGTGTAGGTTTGTTTTATCACAAGAAACGCTGTTGCAAAAAAAAAAAAAAATCATGCATGCCCGGGGACAAAATTACCATATCCCCGGGTTTCCCGGTATCAACCCCCCCGCCCCCCCCGCGCTGCTGGGGTGCACCCTAACCATCTCCACATGCCCCCACAAACCACCTAATCTTCTGCTTTACTCGTATAGTCTAATTCATCCACCGCCTAGACAATAGTAGCCCAGAAAAACAACAACAACCGCAAAGCATCTGCCCTGGTCTAAACATCAACGATTGGTGTCGGGATCCGCTGCCGTCCTCGGGAAGAAATGGGAGCCGCCGACGGCGGCGGGTGAACCAAGGGAACCGCCGCCCCTCTCGGCCGTCCCGCTCCTCCTTGGACGGGAGCACCTCTCCCCTCGTCCCCCCCCCGCCCTCCCGCCCCCATTTGCTCTCCACGAGCACCAGTGGTGCGGTCCTGGCCACCCTGTCCTCTGCCACGCCCCTCTCGCCCACCGCCACCGCGCCCCCTGATCGCCGTCCGCGTCCCGCTTAGCTCAACCCTCACGCTCCTCTCTCCCCGCCCTCCGTCCTGTTCCCCGCCCCGTCCTTCGCCACGCCCCCCGCTCCGCCCTCCACCTCTCCCACCCTCGCGCCCTCCACCTCTCCCCCCCTCTCGCCCGCCGCCCCGCCCGAAGCCCCGCCCGCCGCCCCGCCCGCCGCCCCGCCCGCCGCCCTGCCCGCCGCCCCGCCCACCAACTGCTCCAGATTGTTGGTTGGCCTCCTTCGTTGCCCTTGCCTCCGCGCGTGCCGCCTTTGCTTCCTCAGCTGCCTGCTTCGCTTCTTGGTCCTTCTTGGCCTGAGCAAGATGTTCTTCGGCGGACAGCAGACCACCTTCGGGCTTCCCCCCCCCCGCCCGAACGGTCGCGAAAGCCTTGGTGCGCTTGGTGAGGCGGGTGAGCCCGCCAAGGAACACGGTGTTGACACGGAGCCCCTCGATCATCAGCCCGTGTCTTTTCAGCTCCAGGAGGGCAGCGCGGCCGAGGTCTCGCTCGAGTTGATCCTTAGAGGCAACCACGGCGAGGTCTTCACGAATAGGGCGGTCATGGTCCCGTTGCTTCCTCTTGCTGTGTAGTCTGTTGATAGCTTTCTCCATGCTCACCGGCCACAAGCCCGACCCTTTGAACGCCGCCTTGTTGTTCTCAGGCGTGAAGCTCCCTGCCCATGCCTCCGCAATCACGCCAGCCATGTCGCGCTTCACCGGACTCCTCCCCCCGTTCTTTAGCGGGTAGGCCGTGAGCACCTTGGTGATCTCCATCTTGAAGGTTCCGAACGTACCGACGTCCAAGGGCTGGGTGATGTGCGATGTGTGGGATGGAAGCTGGAATAGGTCCATGTCCAGGGAGATGCCCAAGCTGATGGCGTCGAAGGTCGTGTGTGAGGCGTGGCCGTCGAGCACAAGGGCAGCTTTGCCCAGCAAGCCGCGCGCATCGAGCTGCTTGCGGAGGTCTCGAAGGTAGTCCAGGAAGACGTGGCTCTGGATGAAGGATGACTCCGTGACGGTGTACTTCGCATCGGGGACGCCGTTGTTGTCCTGGATCCAAGCGGGTTGCATACGCTGGCCTTTGAAGATGATGGTAGGGTGGAACGTGTGGCCGTCGGCACCGATGGTGGCGACCACCGTCGTATTTTCTCGCGAATTGGAACGCCTCGCGCCGGGTACCTTGGTGCCTCTTGCGACGATTGCCTTCCCCGACTTTGTACCTTGAGGGGTCGAACCTACAACACGCGCGCATCGGGGGTAAAGACAGTTGAACAATCAGTAAACTAGACACACAAAAAACGCGCGTACAAACACACATGGGTGCTGCTCGCTCCGGGTGGTGGCACACAGCAGTGGTGAAGGCCATTTTTTGTGCGGCAAGTGTCGGATTCGTTTAAACTTTGGGTGCGAAACAATAACCCCACACCCATGGCAGTTTGCATTGAGCTCCAAACGTAGGTGGGTTTACAAAAACAAAGCGTTCTACTGAAGTCTCGACGTGACTAGACTAGTCTGCACTTCGCGCGTCGTTCAGCAACACACATGCATTTTGCAGACCAAGAACACACGCCCGCTGTTGCCGGTAGCATCACAACAGAAAACGATGTACACATGCAATCATGCGGCAGAGTGCAACTGAGATGACCACAGGGACTGTTACATGCTAACCTCAGCCGACTCCAGCAGCAAACATGCGGGCGTGTTGTGTGCTACGCGCATGACAAGCAGCAACGGCTCGGAAGATATGCGGGACAACTGCTGGATCTTTTTTTTTTGCAGCAGCAGAACTCCGCGTTGTTGTGACACATCGCAGTGCTGCTGGTACTTCGCCTACGAACCCACAGCAGTCGATACTGACACCGCTGACACCCAATGACACCTACTGACACCTCAACCCTTGCCCTAACTCACTTGTCTCATCCGTGTTGAGGATGCGTTCCGGCGGGAGCTTGGTCTCCTCCAGGTACTCCGCCCATGCTTTGTAGAAAGCTTGAAGGCGAGGCTCGCCGTCTTCGTTAATCCGGTTTGCTTCGTAGATGTGGGTGGCTCGCTCCGACAAACCCGGGTGTCTCGCCATAAACCCCTCAAGCCAGCTGTCCCCAGGGCCCTTGTCTGGGTCCCAGGGCACCTTGCGCCCGTCGGTGCAGATGTTGCGCACAGCGTCTCTCAGCTCCCTCCGACCCAACAGCAAGAAGTGTCGGGAGGCGTAGATCAAGACGTCTTCTACGAAATCTTCCTCCTCCTTGCTCAGGACAGTCCCGGGACCAACCCTCGCATCTATGGCCACCTTGTTCTTCACACGGTCGTGCAGCGAGGCTAGCGGTAACCCGTAGGTCCTCGCAGCAACGCGGAGCGACATCTCACCGCTGCGTACCGCATCTACAGCCTTCTGGGCCTGCTCTGGGTCTACTCTCTTACGTCCCATGCTTAGCAGCAGGACCCCGAAAAGGGCAAAGATGCCCCACATAAGGGGTGTGGGTGAGGGCTGTGCTGTATCTCGGGAGTGCTTGACCCGATCGACACGCGGAGGTGCTCAAACGAAAGCTAACGGAAAGCTGAAGATTTCAAAAAAAAAATTGGGGGGCTCCGCGCATTGTGCGCCGAGGGACGTGCATTTGAAAAAAGTGTTCGTTAAAGGGGGGGCGTTCGTTAATACCCTGATTTACTCTATTGGTTCTGGGTTGTTACCCCTCGCTCCTTCTCTGTGCGCGTGCATGCTTCCTACGTGTCAAGCATTTAACCGTCTATGCATCATGCATAGACTATGTCTATCCGTCTGTCGGTCGGTCTGTCTGCCTTTTTTTTCTGTATGAACACAACACGAGAATTTGGCTTCGTCCCCACGATGACAAAATAAATACGGTATGTTCCAGACGGCACCAACGAAGATCAGGACAGCTGGCCAAACTGCCATGAAAACAACAATATGGAGGCAAGACAGCAGAGATGGGCGGGGGTGGGGTGCACTCATAGTCGTGCATGCCGCAGTCATTAGACCGTTTGACCTGGTGGGGCATTGCTCGAAACGAGTTCAACGTGTGTGTTCGTAGTATATAATGGAATCACAGCAACTGAACTGAGCAGGCCATGATCGAAGAGGCTCCTCTATGCGCTATTATTATCGAAGGCCAGCGCAACCATATCGGGCTTCCGTTCTCCACGGAGTTGAGCTGGGGGTTCATGGTCATGTACTCATCATCATGAACTACGGCCGAGTAGTCAGAGTTTCATCAGGCAGTGTCAGTCTGGGGCCGTTAGCGTTGTTACTTATCCGTCTTGGTCACGAAGCGCAGCCCGCACTGCCGGCGGGATGGAGGAGGGGGTAGGGAGGGCCAGTGGCGGATGAGGGGGCTGGCGGCATCATCATCGTGAATGGCTCCTTGTTGTGTAGTTGTTTTGGTTAGCAGCGGTGTGGCCGTGTTGGTTTCGGGGATCAGCAGAAAGGGTATCTACAAGCAACGAGAGCAGCAGACACATGGGCATACATTATTGTTCTCTCCACTCTCCTCTCTCTGTAGCTACCGGACAGGCCGAGGGCTGAAAAAAAAAAAACGAACTCACGATTGGTTGGTTGCACATGGATGGACCAAAAAAGCAGGAAAGTGAGAGGCTTTGACACAACAACAAACCACCCACAGCAGATATCCGACTGAAAGAACTCTTGGCCAGAATTATGCCACACGGTTTTATTTATGTAAGCCCGGTCGCCGTTCAGTCTCCCCGGGGCGCCTTCCTCACAAGAGTGTGTAACTCCGTATCTCGTCGAGTTTCCGTCGGTAGGAAAAAAAATAACCGGTTCTAGGGCGCCTTCCGACAGAAGATTCCATTTCCGGCATCAACAAAAAAAAAAAAGAAGGTTTCGCGCCACCTTTGGACGAAAATAAATGCGGCGGGATCCATTTCACAGGGACGATCAACTCGGAGCCAAGCGTGCACCTCGCCAATCGACTCCGCTTGGTCGAATTACCCACAAAGGAACTCACTGCAGGGTCTCCCGACCCCACCCCGACGAGATACTGCTCTTTCCCTTTCCGTCTCCTGGACGGTGGCGGCTGCTGCCACCATGCTGAGGCGCGATGTCAAAATTGCGGGAGAAGCGAGGGTCATCAGGCACAGATGGCGCACGCACCCCAGGGGCTATCACCTGACCTCCATGCTGCTGAAGAAGGGCACTGAGACTGCGGCTACCAAGGCAATAGGCTCTGTGGTGGATAACCTCTAGGGCGTTGCACGTATGGCCCGAGAGCATGTTGATGACCTCCAAGAACGGGCTACTAAACGTCGCAAGAAGAAACCGGAAGGAGCCGCCACCAGATCTGCTGCCGCTGCTGCGGTGGCTGCTGCTGCTGCCGAACGAGGTCCAAGGTTAGGAGCCGATGCACGTCTCGCTCGCTCGGATCCGCTTGAGGCGCATCTTTTCAGCGGACCGAGGAGAAGCCCACAACCCACAACGACTCCTCCACGACAACGGCAAACGGTGAGTTCAGAGCGGCGTACGGCAAGAGATAGGGTGGTATCTTGCGTTTTTTTCAAGTGTTTGAATTTCCCTGCTGTAGGCTATTTTAGACTACTGCTGTATTTCCGGTACATTCCCCCCCGGGTGCTCTCCATCTTCCCGCGAAAGTATTGAGTCCCATCCTCACATTTCCCCCCCCTCTCGTCAAAACTGCTTTAAATTATATCGTAATCAAACCCAGGCTATCGACGGGCACCGCGACGGGGTGAAGCAGAGCGTGTTAGAGGATGATGTGTTGAAGGAGGAGCTGAGGGAGTTGCTGCGTGTCGGAGAACTTGGAGAGGCAGCGGCGACGAAGGCTGCTGTCGATGCGGAGAACACTCGCGCACTGGTCGCCTCTATAGAGGCGCTGAAGCAACACTCCCACAGCAACATCGGCCGCACTGCCTACAACACCGTCATTGCCGCAGCTGCCGGAGCGCAGCACACGTGCGATCCTGATGACCCTTGCACCCCGGATGAGCCGTGCGCACCTGCTGAGCCGCATGGTGCCGTCAGCCTTACCGCGCGAGCACAGAGTCTCGGTGTGAGAGATGCCACGTTCCGTGCAGCGCGTACCCGGATGCACAGGACTGACCACACCATACCTCCACAGGAAGCTTTGGAGAAGGGGAGATACCTCTGGGCTCCTCGCAAGGAAAGGAGCGACAAGATGGACGAACGTGTCATGGGTTTGGCGAGGAGGTTCTGGCACTCAGACGATATTTCTCGTGCGTCGGGAGACTCCGGTAAGCGGTAGGCGTTGTCAAAAAAATTTGTTATACAATTGTAGATCGGGGTATCTCCTTTGCCGTTTTTTGTCGACGTGACGTATCAATTGCACTTCTCTATTCCCCTTTAGGTAGCTTCACTATTGCTGCTACACTGCACACTGCTGTTCTTTCGTACACCCCTGTAGGGACGAAAGCTATGTGGAGGCCGTCCAAGAAGGCAGGGGAGGAGTATCACCCCCGTAGGCAGCTCATGGTCGCGGGGGACCAAGTATGGCACAAGTTTCTGAAGTGGCCGGAGTACTTGGGGCTTAAGGCGGAGCTGCTGAGGGAAGACAACAGCTTCACGGACCCTGGGCGGACGCTGTTCCTCTCGACGCGGTGTGGGTGCTTAGGTGGGTAGACATGAGGGGAGAGCTCCTTTTTTTTTTCCCACGAAACAGCGTAGTGACCGTTCCAGCGTAATGAACTCTTCTGCTGTGTCACCGCCCCAGAGGACGGCCTCGTTGCTGACCTGCTGTCCTCCTTTCTGTCCGTTTCAAATGTTCGCTTCTGGTGTGTCACAGTGGAACCCAAGGTATCGCAGTGTGCATGCCAGATCCACACGCAGCAGGGGCTGTACCTGAAGGCCTTCGAGATGTTGATGCCTGCAATACATGCCAACTGTGACTGCACGTGCAAGTGGTGCGACGGGGGGAGTGGGTGTGGAAAGTGGATGGCCATGTGTAAAGATCTGCACAGCTTTTCTGAGGCTTTGGCTTGCGAGAAGGTAGACTTTCTTGAGGAGGACCGAGGGGGTAGGTTTGAGCACTGGGGGAGGAAGCCCGCATGCGTTGCGATGGAATGTTCCGAATGCGGGTTTGGCAACCCAGGCGGCATCCCCATGAACTGCGATGCCCTGGGGTCTATGGCGGACAGAGTAGTCGGGTGGCTTCGGTTCGCGGATCAAGTCATGGAGGATGGGAAAGTGCACAAGAAGCAGCAGCTACCCCAGGGCGGAAAACTGGGTGACCTGTGGCAGGAGTTTGTGGAGCACTCCAAGAAGGTGTGAAGGAATGGACCGCATGTGGAATTGCGCCATCAACTGGAGGCATGTAGTCAATCGTGCATCAACACAATCAATCGCGCAACGTACAACCGTTATTTCCTTTCAACTTACAACTATATTTTCCCGCCCCCCCCCTTGCCCCCCGTTCGTTTTTTATCCCTCAGTATCTTCATCACCATGAGCTAGCAAAGTGGCAGCGCCAAGCCCACAACATGTGCCTGGCGACGTTCTCCAAAGGCGAGCTGTTGGTGGAGACCGACTTTATCGAGAAGTACAAGCACGAGGCTGGCGCTATCTTGACGTGCGCTACTGCGCCCTCCACGACCATGATGGTGGCCCTAGTTCACCACAGTCCTGACGACAACGGCCGGCATGAGACAGACGCATGGGTTTTCGTATCGAGTGATCCCAATCATGACTTCGACTTCCACATCTACGCCATGGACATCATCCTTCAGTACTACATCACGGGGGATGGGCGGGCCGCTACTGCTGGAACCCCGACCCCGACGGTGCACATCTTCACCGACGGGTGCGCCAAACAGTACAAGGGGAAGCGCAACTTTCATGCCGTAGCCAAGAGCTTGCACAGGCTTGGTGCCATCCTCATCCACAACTTCGCGGTCACGTCGCACTTCAAAGGCGCCCACGATGGCATCGGAGGGTTGCTGAAGGCTCTACTGCGAGAAGCGGAGAAAAGGGGCCAGCGCATCCACGACACCGAAGCCGCAGCCGACTTCCTCAAAGCCTACGCCGAGGCAAAGGAGGATGGAGGAGGCCACTTTTCAACCTGGTCTCCCTACCGAATCAGGAGGTTCCACATCAAGCTTCTTGGACACCGAGAGATCCCTCGCCCGTTTGTAGATTTGACCGGCATCTCTGGGAGTTCCAAGCTGTACCAGTTCATGGGAGCGGAGGTCCAGGAGGAGGAAAGCTCGGGCGTGAGCGTAGAGGTGCAGAAAGAGAGCGGGGTTCCTCCCCTCGTAGGTGGCGAGAACGAGGTTGTAGTTAACCCGCTGAGATGGCAGGCAGACGAATCAATCGTTCTGACGGTTCCGGCTGTCACGAAGCGATACAAGCTGCGCGTTCGCCAGGCGTCGTGCTACTGCTCGAAGTGCAGTGTTGGAGCTTACGACGACTGCGTCCCGGCCAAAAAGTATGAGGGGATGGTCGGTATGGTGAAGGATGTGTCGGGCAAGCACAAGGTAACCCGGACGTCTTGTGGTGTAGGGGATTGAGGGGTGTCCGTGTTGCACGTCATGTGCTGATTGACGCCTTTTTCTCTTCGATGTTCTTCTGTTTTTTTGGGTAATTTTGTTGCAGTATTTGTACTTTTTTTGTTGCTGTGTGCTGTTTGTTGCATGTTGCTGTATTCACGTGCAGCAGCAGGTCGTCTCCCTTGCGGTTTGGGATACCAAAAAAGGGTCTCCAGCAGGAGAAAACAATATTTGCAGGCGCTGGTGGCTAATATTTTCACGGTTTGTCGCCCAAATAGGCTGTCTTTTTCCATATATATATTGCACAACATACATTATTTTCAAGCACGTCGGTGAAATAAATGTCCCATATGTCACAGGGTATACTTGGGGTAAATCTCCGCGGTTGCACGCATCAAGTAGCCCAAAAAACGCGCTTGAAAATGGCCCTATAAACACGTTTTATCGCCGTTTTTCCAAAGGGGGGGGACGTTTTAGCCTCATCCCCGTTTTTTTTTTTTCATACAGTGTGCAGTATAAAACACTGCATATGGCTGAAACCTCAACATCCCGACGTCGGGCACTCAATTTAACCCACGGAACTAGGCCTACACCCCACCAAAGCACCCTGACACACTTTTTGGAGCTTTAGTCTTCGGGGAACATCATCAACTGGACCGCTGCACACTCGAGCGCGGAAGGCGCCCCGGAAAGCTTGTTTTTGAGCTGTTTGCTCAAGGGTTTCCATTGGTTCGCGAGGCGTCCGGACAGAGAGCGAGCGAGCGAGCGAGCGAGCAAGCTTGATGCTCGCATGATCAGACTCGCTCGTGGCACACTCGCACCGCCGAGCGAAAACGAAGGGAGCACACGACTTTGGGTACCAAAGGGATCTCTTGTTGTTGCTTACCGCAGCAGCTTCTACCGCACCAGCTGAGTGAAGATCTGCTACTCCTCGATTGGTTCTCCCCCTTGTCGTTGACAATGAAAAGAGTCAAGTCGAGCAGTCGGTTCGCGATGAACTTCCGCAAGGCTGGCTCTCAGGAGGCCTATGCCCCGGGCTCTTCCTCTTCGGTCCCGCCTGCTGGGTCGGCCACGGTCCCGCCAGGAGCACCGGCTGCCGCTCCTCCCATGAAAAAGAAGTCGAGGTTTGCGGCGGCGGCGGCAGCATCAACTGCTACCGGGGGCGGATATGCGGCGCAATCACCAGCAGACCCACAGGGCAGGTGATCTTTGTTTCGGACGTTCGTTTTGTATAACGTTGAGTAAGGGGTGTGGTATCTTACGTAGCCCACGGCACACCATGTCTGTGGGGTGTGCAGTGTGCAGTGTGCCGTCGAGAGAGTGACGGAGTCAGCCAAACATCTACTATGGTACAAGTAGTGTGCCTCTCAGTATGTTTATTTTTGGAGTTGAGGTGAAAGCGGCCGCGATCTATGCGCATGTTGCATGGTCGCCCGGCTACTCGTGAGAAAGGCAGGCCGCGCTCAACAAGGATCGGTGAGTTATGCTGTAGGAGTGGGCTTTCTTCTGCCTCGAGATCTCATTACTGTTGCTACGGTTACTCACACAGCAGTAGCAACGATGGCTTGGGTGCACCACGGTGTGGTTCTCTACCAGTGTGGAACACGCGGTACTCTAAGCGGAGGGCCAGAGGGAGAAGACCCGTTCCAAGCTCCCAATACAGGAAACCGCGCAGCACGGTACATCTTTGACGCCGCCACGACAACGTTTGACGCACCAACGCTATCTCAGCTATCTCGAGAACGCGCGCGGACGGTCGGCGAAGATGAAGGGATATTTCGACGACTCCGATGAGGAAGAAAACTCAGCATCGAAGAGCACCCTTCCGAGGTGAGGAAAACCACCGTGGCTGTATCTGAGGGGGGCGTACTCATGTGTGGCAAGACTTGTAGTGGTTGGACAATCGACCATGCGTCGTCAACAGGACGGCGCATTGTTCGCGTAGAACCGATCACGGACGGCCAATCGTTCCTTCTCCTACTTTGCCAAAGTTGGCTAAAAAAAATGTCGTCCCTAGCCTACCTATCCTATCGACACCACTTCCCGCCCTTTCAGCCCACACTTCCCATGCCCCAGTATAGCTGCCGTATTTTCCTGACTGCCCCATGCCTCCAACATATCTGTTTATCTTCCTCCTACTTTTCTCGGCTCGGTCATGTGCATTTCTCTCTCCTTTTCGTAAGACGGACGTCCTGCCACTACACGAACGGGGGAGGGGGGGGGACGAACTTTTATGGTGGTTTTCTGTTTCTTGGCAGTACTTTTGTCGCGCGTGACAGCGCGCTCGGGAAGCGTCGATGGGAGGGTGGGGGGCCTCAAGGTTCCCCCCGAGTCAAAACAGTTTTCCGCGAAAAGGCAGGGCGGGATGGTTGAGTTCCCGAGACGACTTCTCTCTCTTTGGTCGTTACTTGAGACCTGAAGTCTTGTACGAAGACACAGCGACGCCCTCGGTATTGCTTTTTCTTGTTTGGGGTCCGCGAGCGGAGCTCTTTCACGCGTTCACAGTACAGAAGGGGTCCCTGTTTAGTGCCGGTATGTGCCCATAAAATTCGCCGGCACTAAACCGGACGGGCACCACTATTCAAAAGTGCTGACAAAAGCTTGGAAATCCAGTGGGTGCACACCGAAAACACCGGCACATACTTGTACCGGGCGTTGGCACTGTTCAACCGGCGCAAAACAGGAAACCCCTCTGGACACGACGCGCGAAAGAAATAATGCATGATTTGTAGGACGGACGCCCGCGACGACACACCCAGCACTTCGGTTCACGTGACGTTTTCCCCTCTCGTTGCACAACTCGCGCTTCGCCCCACGCCGCCTGCCCTCCCGCACAATTTGACTTCCCTTGCCCGCTGAACGCTGAAGCGCTGGGGCGGCGGAGGAGGTGGATCCACTTGATGCATTCATGGCCGGCGTTCAGCAGACTGTCAAGGTTTGTCGGGGATGCACTACTACCGTATGATGAGGGGTGGCACATGACATTACGCGAAAGATGGTTTTTGCGTGGGGTGGGGGTGGG